TTCGAATGGTATCCGGATTTGAATACGTGTTCTAAACCGAGTTCGAAACGGCAACGGTATAAATTACGGAAACGCGATCAGCGCACCGTTCCTCCTCCCCCGCGTTCACCTTTGAAATATGTCAGAAATATTAATTTGAAAGTCAAATCCCGAGAGCTCGAGGGAAGCGCAGCACGTCTGTCTCGAGCACTCCGGAATTTAGACATAAAAAATACTTCTGTAATAGACACGTAGAGCTGAAGGAACAAGTTTGCGGACTTTGTAAACTTCAGTGAAGTAAGTACGTATATTGATGTGCATATTTATAGGCATATTATACGGTGCTTCGCGGAAAAATGCAGTCCACGGAGCACGGGCCCGTGCATTTGAATAGATAACGAAATAAATAAAACATGCCTCGCGGTATATCGAACGGTTAACAGAATCGTTATCTCTCGAAGTTATTTATTTTCAGCGCGGACCCATTTGTCAGCGGGGTTCGGTCGAAGATCGGAAACGAACGAAGCAGAAAACAATGGAAAGTTTTCCCTAATTAAGCGATATTTTATGCAAAACGATGGAAACGAATCGATTCTACGGGCCGACTAAATGGTTCGTTTGTTCGACATTCTTTTCAGTGACGCATCCATATTTCAGCGACACAATAAAGGCACGTTCGCCGGTCGCTCGTTCCGGCGAGACCACGAGCAGCGTCGGGTCACGATATTCGGGGCCAGGCGGTTCGAGGAACCGCCAGTTCTAAGCCGCAGAGAAACAAAAATCCCGTACAAATCGAGGCTATCGAAGAATGGGCTAATTTAAGGGCATCACGAGGAGACCCTGGAAACAAAGGTTCCCCAAATAACCCGGGTCCTTCTGCGAAGCCGGCGGCGGACGAACCTCGCGACTCTCCTCGGTTTCTGGCCGAGGAGACGCGAGCGCGGCAACGATAGCGATATTAATAATAGGCACAACAACGAGCATGAAGCACCATATCGATAACCCCGTGCGGAGCGACCGGACATTACCATAAATTTGAATGTCCGCGGGTTCCAGCCCGGCTCCTCGGCCTCTCCCGGCCGGGCCCGTTTCACGGGGGACAGGTCCTCTTTCTTCGCGCGCTGGCCTCGCCATCCTCACGGTCGAATCGTCTCCCCGCGACTGCAACCCCTTTTACGGCTTACTTTATGGCAAAGACTCAATTTGGCCGCGGCAGTTGGTGCCCGTTCCCGGTGACTAATATACCGGGATGCGCCGCGTGCGGTGCAGCCGTGATGCATCGCTCGCGGTGCCCCGCGTACCTATATGCGTGCGCGGCCTCCCTCTCGGATTCGAGACCCCGTGGATCGTTTGTAAGAAAAGCTCTTATGAATGCGTGACCCGCGGCGAGACCCCCGGTTCAATTTCGAGTTTCATCGGAGAGCGCCGGTTCGCCGGCCGTGCATGCCAATTGAAAATTTTTAGTCCGTGGAATGTAACGCTCTCTCTATCCTTTACAATTGCGACTGTGATTTCGTGTTTCAACGATTAATTCAGCTGATACCAACCGACCACGAGTTCTTTCAGAATCAATTGCACGATATCGTAGACTACTACCGAGCATTCCGCGTTCGAAACGGTACGTTCTCCGAAAACGCGTAATCAGATTCCACGGTTCCAGGAGCGGAAAGACAGACTCGCGTACACGCTGTGCGCGTTTCCGTTCGCCGGCGCGGCGATTCGTTTCCCAAGGCACGCGCGGCGCACGCGTTAAATCATCGCAATACGTCGGAGCCGTTTCCCTCGGAGGGCTTGTGCATATTCATCGGGAGGAAACGGCCGGGACCCCTTAGGTGTATCGGGAACGGTTAACCGCGGCGGTGCACACGGCGCGAAAGGTTTCCGCGCACCCGCGGAGCCTCGCGACACGTTCAACAGCCGGCACCGAGAT